CCGGCCCGGCCCGGGGCGCCCCCAGGTGCGTGACGTCACCGCCCCGCCCCCGCGGCGGTTGGGGGCGCCCGCCATGGGGGTTATACCTGGGGGGGCTATACCGGGGGGGGGCTCTCACATGCTTACACCTGGTAGGGTAGTCACCCCCACGGCGGGTCCCCCCTTCTCCTTGCAGCTCGTTGAAGTTCCCGGCGGACCTGGAGGAGCTGCGGGAGCTGGCCGAGCGCCTGCACTACTACCAGCGGGAGCACCGCGGCTATGTGCTGCTGCTGTTCAGTGCCGCCTACCTCTACAAACAGAGCTTCGCCATCCCTGGCTCCAGCCTCCTGGTATGTGTGCCCGTGCGGGGTGTGTCTCTCGTCCAGCACTTGCTTGGAGCAGGGCCAGCCACAGCTGGGGCTGTGTCCAGCCAGGCTTCAACACCTCCAGGGATGGAGATCCCACCACCTCTCTGGGTATCCTGTTCCAGTGCTTCACCACCCTCCTAGTGAGAGTGTTTCCTAATATCCAACCTCAACTTCCCTTGCTGCAACTTGAGCCCATTACTCCTTCTTCTGTCATATGCCACCGCTGAGAACAATCCAGCTCTATCCTTTTTTGGAACCACCCTGCAGGGAGTTGAAGGCTGCTATTAAACCCCTCCTCAGTCCTCTCTTCTCCAGGATAAACAAGCCCAGTTCCTTCAGCCTCTCTTCATAAGTCATGTCCCCCAGCCCCCCAACCATGTTCATTGCTCTTCACTGGTCTCCAACTTGTCCACATCCTTTCTGTAGAGGGAGTCCCAAAACAACACGAAACTCAGATGTGGTCTCACCAGTGCCCAGTAGAGGGGGAGAATCTGTCCTATTAATACAATACTGCTTGACCCATGGTTGTTGAAATGTGGTTGCTGTTTCAAGGAATTACCCCCAGCGAGGAATTAGAACCTGGCTCCAGCTACAAGTGCCGCATGCAGCACAGCCTGAAATGAATTGAAAGCAGGTCTCAGAAGAAGTAGCTTTCTCATGAAGTCATGGGGCCTCTGCACAACCAACCAGTGTGTTTGGCAAGAGAAGCAAACCATGGATCATCTCCTGAGATGCCCTATAGCATCGCAACGCACCCATAGGATCTGGCAATGCCAACACCAGGAGCTAGTGGCCTGTGCAGAATATTGGGAGCAGATTGTATGGAAAGGTTGGACTGGAGACACCAAGAAGAAGACAAAGACTTGACCCATTCTACTAACGTGTCCCGCAGAAGGCTCAACTCCTGCCTCCCTGCCAGATGTCTGGAAGCGGGGACTTGCTGGAGGCCCTGGCCCTGCAGTTGGGTTTAGCCTTTTTGTTCAGGATCACTGCTCAGCTCCTGCAACCACATGCTGTTCTCAGACCTGCAGTGGAACAGGGCTCACTCCTGTAGGCTTTGTGCTGTAGCTGTTCAAGTCACCAGGCACAGAGAGACACTTTGGGCACCTGTGAGACACGGGACTGGACCTGCCTTATAGCCAAGGATTAATACAGAAGAGCAGCAGCCAGGTCCAGGTTGCTTCATGCTCTGTGACGAGCAGCTGCTATCATGTGCTGGCTGTTTGTTCACATGTGGCCCTGAGAGAAGGGACTGAACCACAGAGCTCTCTCCTCCCTGCTGATTGGTAGGGTCGCTAGACTGCAGACACAGGTTCTCTCTTGGGCTGTCCCTGGATCAATGGACCTTGAATTCTTTCCTGGAGATGGGGAGGGTGCCATCCTCCCCTTCCCCCTGGAATAGCCTGTTCCCTGGAGGTTGGGGCACTCCCCTGGGAGTACATAGAGGATTCAGATCCCCTCAGATATTTCCGCAGGTGCCTGTGGCACCAGCTCCTTCTGGATCCCTCTGCCAAAATGTATTTAAATAAGCTAGAAATACTTTCTTACCATTACTGCTCCCCTTAAGCAGATTCTGTAGTTACTCCCCGTTTTCCAGTCACAAGAGGGAGGAAAGGGGGCTGGAGTGTGGACTGTTCTGGACTGTGTTTGTTCTCTTTGCTTATGAAGCCTCCTTGTTTTGTGCTCCCAGAACGTCCTTGGTGGGGCACTGTTTGGCCCATGGATGGGGCTCGTGTTGTGCTCTTTCCTGACATCTGTGGGAGCCACCTGCTGTTACCTACTCTCCAGCGCCTTTGGGAAGCAGTTTGTGGTCCACTATTTCCCTGACAAAGTTTCTGTGCTGCAAAGAAAGGTAAAGAGACCACCACAACTTCCACATGTGCTCATGGCCCTCGGGATGGGTCTAAACTGTCCATGGTGGGCTGACAGGGGCACAGCTTGGTTTTGGCTTTCCACGCATGTTCAGCATGTGTGAGGTTGCACTGCTGAGGTACAGCAGGGTGGATGGGGCAAGGTTGCTTCTCTCTACTGCCTGCCTTCCAAGGCAAGTGTTGGAGGAGAAGGATTGAAGCCTGGAGGCAGCCCTTCCCCACTCTTGGGAAGAAGAAGGCCTGTCAGGCACTGAATTAGTGGTACACTGAGCTGGGCAGAGCCACTCTGAGTTTCTGATCCCCTCTGAGAAGCTTTCTCTTTGAATAAGCAGCATGCTCAGTCTTGTAGGCAAAGGAGCAGAGATGCTGAGGCTAAGTGGGTTGTCTGAGGTCGGGCAGCAGGTTGACATTGGAGCCAGGATTAACACTTGTCTCTGACCAGTCTGCCACTGCTGATGCCTAATGTCTTGGTTTCATAACATAGAGGTAGAAGGGCCCTGTTCTGTGCCTGAGGGAGCAGCTGGTGCGTGTTGATGTGAAGGGGCTACAGCTGGTGACATGCATCTCCCTCCAAATTGTGTGGCTCAGCAAAGAGCTGAAAATAGTAACAGCTGAAATATGTGCCACAGATACAGAGGGAGCCACCAAGCCCTGCTAGTGCTGCCCTCTGTTCCTCACCCTGTCTCCCCCATCCAGTGCAGAGGCCTCTCTAGTTGTTGGTCTCTACAGTGATTGCACTGGGGGTGTTATGGCTGAAACCTAGGATGAGCATGGGCTTTGCCCCGGGGAGTAAATCCCTGCACTAGCCCTTGCACAACAGAAAGCGCTTTGAGAGCAGGAGTCAGGCAGCACCCTCTGGTGTCACTGCAGCCTGCTCCAGAAAAGCATTGCAGAAAGAGCCCTGGGGGCTCCCTTCCCCTGTCTGTCATACATGGACTTACCCTGGGCTCTTCCTTCCTGCGTATCAGCACCAGCACCAAAGATTTTGCTGGACATGGGTGGTGTGCGGCCTGTGGGGTAAGGCATTTGAGCCCTGCTAGTTCTGTTGACTTGACCCAGCCTATAGGAGGGGGGTGCAGCAGCAGCTTAGTTTACCTTCCCCCTCCATTCCCACGGGCTGAATTCTTCATGTGGAGATCTGGTGTTGGGATGGCTCCTAGGCTCACATTTAAAACTCATCAGGTTCTGGGAGGCCTGCAACTGAGGCCATGTGAAGGCTCAAGTGGCCACACTTCCTCCCAGCCTCTGGCTGAGGGTTCTGAAGGGTGTGGAGGCTGGTTCTACATTTGCAGCTGAAATGAATGCTAACACCTTCAACCTATCCCCCACACAAGCTTGGCTTGAAGCTGCTTCAGCTGGGCCTTGCATCCATGGAAACAGAGCCTTCCACATCCTGAAGCTTAGGAACCATAAATTGTTCCCCTCAGTTTTCTGCAGGTAAGGCTGCATTTTGGGGGCCAGAGTGTTGAGAGTCAGGAATGCCGGCCTGTGCACCCCAGGAGGCATGGAGACTCGCAGACCAGCCACACTCAGAGGCACAAGCACTTGGAGGCCTGGGCCTGCACAGACTTGGGCAGCAGTGCCCTGCCACAAAGGGAGGGGGTTTGCTCTCTTCTTGTAAAACATGATCCTGAAAAATCTCTGGCTGCCAGGACCCATAGCCACGGACGTCCTTGTGTTGAAGAATCCAGAGTTGGATCCTCCGAGTCCTGCTCTGTTGCTGCCAAACCCTGAAGGCACCAAAAGCACCCAGGCGCCAAAGCTTCCAGCATTCAGGTTCCCCACATGTCTGAAGTTGGGATTCTGGGCTTGCTGAGAAGGGCTCGCTCTGTGCAGGGCTGAGCAGCCTGGTGCTAACTCCCTCCCAAGTCCAGCCAGGGTCCATGTGGTCAGCAGGCCTCCACCACACTCTCTGGAGGGACTCGGTTTAGTTAGGCATTCCCACAATGCTCCTACCTGACCGTGCTCTGTAGACTGTAGCAACAGCCACTTCCTTTTCCAGAGGAGGCAGTGGCAGCAGCCCTGCTGCTGCCCATTTTATCTAGTAACTTGGTGGTGAATTTTCTTACTCGGGAAGTGGGAGAGCCAGATAAACACCCCCCCCC